GATGACGTCAGCGACGCGGTTTAGTCGAGCGCGGTTTAGTCGAGCTGGTTTTGACGGGTCACGGGGCTGCGGAATCGGCCAAACTCCAGATTCTGCACCGTTTGAATTCCAGGAGCTAAACAGTAGGATCTTGCTTTGCACAAAGGGGTGCAGGTCTTAAACTGGCGCCATTAATTCAGTGTTTCTTAACCTTGCTCCTTTTTAAAGCATGAATATGATTAATCAAGATGGCCAAGTGTCTGGATTTAAAATAAATTTAGGGAAAACAAAGATACTAGTTAAAAATATGAATCAAAGGGAAGAATTAGAAGGAATGACAGGAGGTGAAATATTTTAAAAGGTTAAATATCTAGGAGTCTACATCTCAACCTCAAATGGGAAACTATATAAGTATGATTATGAGCCACTATGGCGTAGCATATAGAGAGAGATGAAAAATTGGGAAAAAATTACAATTATCCTTGTTGGGAAGAATATAAAGCCTCATCTTGTTATCTCTTTGCCAGGCTGGCAAAGGAATGTTTGTGTGATTTTAGTGTCGGCCTGGCTGGAATTCTGCTCTCATTTAATCTATGAGTAAAATTGGAATTCTGGAAGGAGAAGGGTGTTGTTTTTTTTCCTGGTTGACGCATCGGGGATGTGGGGTTTTAAGAGGTGTTTTATTTTTCCTGCTCACGGAAGAAAGGAACGCTGCCTCTTAGATACCCCACTACCCAGGGGTGAAATTCAATTTTTTTTAACTACCAATTCTGTGGGCGTGGCTTGGTGGGCGTGGCAGGGGAAGGATCCTGCAAAATTCCCATCCCCTCCCAATCAGCTGGGGCTCGGGAGGCAGAGAATAGATGGGGGGCGGGGCCAGCCACAGGTGGCATTTGCCGGTTCTCCGAACTACTCAAAATTTCCACTGCCGGTTCTCCAGAACCTGCTGAATTTCACCCCCTGCCTCCTCCTTCGTCATGAACCGAGATGGCGCAGTGGTTAGAGTGCAGTACTGCAGGCCACTTCAGCTGACTGTTATCTGCAGTTCAGCGGTTCTAATCTCACCGGCTCAGGGTTGACTCAGCCTTCCATCCTTGGTGGGTGAAATGAGGACCCGGATTG